TAAGCACACTAAAAAAGAATAAAAAAATTAAAAGATAAATTTCAGCACAGTAGATGGTGTTGCACAATAGCAGCACAACAGTGCAATCGTGTCAAATGTAGGACCTGTATGCAACTTAGCAGCATTTCACATTTCTTAGGGATGAATGAATAAATTCATTGCACTTAATCTTCACTAAAACAAGTGTGTAAATAGATTAAACATCACTCTACAAACAAGAGCAAAAATAAACAGTAAGAATCAGTCAGTTAATTATTAATACCTTCTACAGTCTGAGCATCATGTGGAGATTAGCCTCTCGCTCCTGCAGGGAGCAGGTTTTATCTCTGCTCTCGTCATGTCGCTCGTACTCCAAAACTAAATCTGCACTCTTCCTTTCTTCTGTCCATCAAGAGATAATCCACGGGCAACTTTCTGCTGATGTCAAAACCGTAAAAAGCGTGCTGTCCTCGCTTCTGCCCGCTAGAACCACCGGAGTGAGAGGAGGTTCTGTTCGGTTGGAATGGAGACAGATTTGGACCGAGGCTGAACCGAGCCGAACCCAAAGCTGCTGCCAGGGTGGAGAGTAGTTGTCGCTCCGGTTTAAAACGTTCACGGTTCTGTTCCCCCTCGTAAAACTTGTGCATAACAACTTTGCACTTCGCTTCAACTCTGCTTTTGATGAAAATAGAAAGTTCTGCCGACATTCTTGCTAACTTGTTAGCGCAGCATGTTGTTGTGATCACGTGAGCACTACATGCTGGATCCAAGCGCTGCTGGATAGAAACACTAGAGCGGAGGCAGTGGACTGCTGGAATGGACTGCTAATATCGGAGCGCTTATATCGGACATTTTTTATGCAGGCCGATAAAATCAGATACTCGATTTTTGGCTGATATCGGACCGATTTCCGATATCAATATCGGATCGGGACACCCCTAAAAATAGCAGAAACTCAATGTGACAGAAGATGACCTATAATAACTATTATTGTGTATATTGAAATTACAAACAGTAACTTAGACGAATCGATCAAGTAATTGTAACATTTTTTTCCTGTTTTCTTGCAGGTGTGTTTGTTCTGCTTCAGGTCTACGCCTTCCTGCAGTATCTGAAGGACAGGCTGACCCGGCAGGAATTCCAGACCCTCTTCTTCCTGGGGGTTTCTCTGGCTGCCGGCGTGGTTTTCCTCTCGGTCATCTACCTGACGTACACAGGTTGGTGGTCTCTTCAGAAAAACCTGATATGTGGGGCGGGTTTTTGCCACAAGTTAGACCCCAGSGGTGTCCTGATCCAGGTCCACTATCCTGCATGTTTTACTTGTTCCTCTGCTCCAACACACCTGATTTAAATGAACAGGCAGCTATAACCTGTGCTGCAGCGTTTCCTAAACAACTCCAGTGTAACTCCTCACAAATGATGATTCTAGTTCTTTAGACCTCCTCTTCTTTGTGGTACAAAGAGCTGCTTACGTTTACTGCTCTCCACAGAGAGGCCTTTGTTTTATTCTGCTCTATTCATGTTAAAAACATGAACAAAAAAGCTGTATTCAGATTTATAATGCCAAACTGCTCTTCTACTTGTTATTCTTTAAACGTGATACAAAAAAAATCACCACTTTTGTGTCTAAATGGTTTTTTTGCTCATTAGTAAATTTTGTTTTGTACAGATCTCCTAATTAAATTCTCCTAGGCAATCATTCTCATTGTTCCACAGCAGCTGCACTGATAGGCCTGTTTGAACAAACAGTGGTTAGTTATGTAAAAAAAAAACTAATCACCTTTAATAATCAGTTTATCTACAGCAGTCTGAATAAACACATTAATCATGGGAACGTTCAGAACATTTTAGCTACATTTAGTGCAGCGAGTATAAAAGATGGTGTTGAACCAGTTTTAAACCTCTCCGCTGTCGAGTCTCGCTCTGTTCGCTTCACATCGTTCCAGTTCTGTTCAGGTGTGTGTTTCCATGTCTCACTCTGAGGAGGACGTAGGCCACCAATTATTTGGAGTAGAAGAGGAAAGAGAAGAGCGCCGAGCGGACTCACTGGGGAAATCCTCAGTCAGTCCACACGGCAGCACTAATCAATCACCAACTATCAACTGTCAAATGTTTTTCTGATGATTCATTGCACTTGATATGATTTTATCCAACCCTAGTATTCATCCACCTTTATTTAATAAAGATGCTCATGATCTGTATTATTTATACTGAACTCTGTTTTCCATGTGAACTGACCCCAGTTCTCAGTATTGTTTGTTCTTCACATTACACATGTGTTTGCAGGTGTTAATTAGTGGGTTCATTACTTACAGCTCTGGTGTAAAGCCATTGAAATGCTGCAGTGTAATCCACCATCTGGTTATGATAGGATCAGCCACACAGTGTCAGCTTCCATCTCTTATCAATATAAAGTCATTACCAAGTACCAGCTGGTCTGTAATGGTTCTGGTTCCACTCAGTGATCTCATCTGTCACTGCCCTGTTCCGATCAGAGACTAATTATATAATCAATACATGCTGGAAGGCTGCAGCTAACAGTGATCTGTTCTAATGATGAGAGACAGAACCAGATCACTGTCCGCGTGTGTGTGTGTGTGTGTGTGTGTGTGTGTGTGTGGGGGGGGGTACGGCTTTGGTGACATTTGGGGGCAATTTTAAGACAAAAATCTTACATTTTGGGACAAAAGTTGTCCCCATTTGGTTTAAATGCTGTTGGGGGTTGGGTTTAGGACCAAGGTGTGAATTGAGTTTAGGTTAGTTTTAGGGTCAGGTAGGTACCTGTGAGGTTAGCCTTAGGGTTTGTAGATATCACCCTCGTTAAAATCACGAATATGATTTTAATTAAGAGTGTACCTCTATTGTATAGG